CTCGGAGTTTATCTACTCTGTATTTCGGACCCCGTTCTCCAGGGACACTCATCGAGAGATTCACTGAAATCGTCCGACATGCGCCAGAAAACTTTAAATGAAGTGTCGTGTTGAATAATAGCTAGTAGGTTAATTGAATTATGTGTTCCAGGCACTGTGCATTAATTCACCATATGGTTTATATGTATTGTCTCATTTTATCTTCACAGTGATCGCATGACATGCTGTGATTATTATCTTCATTTTACAGATGAAGCTCAAAGAAGACAAGCTATTCATCCAAAGTGACACGTTACACCTTATACCAGGGGTGCCAAAAAATGTATACATATGACTTGTATTCATCTTTTGTTATCGGTATATATTATTACAATTTTAATACAGTTTTTTCCTTTCTTAAAATGTGTTTACATTTTTTTGGCACCCTCTGTATTTGCAAAGACCTCTTACAGTTCCCAAAATCGGTTTACTCGCACTATCATAGTAAAGCCTCACGATACTGTGAGGAAAAGAGAATCATCGCATTTTAAGGTAAGTGCCCTGAGCTGCTCAGGATCAGACAATTGGGGCAGGTGGGATCCACACTGAGGTCTTCTGACCCCAGATCTTGTGATCCACTTTAGCCCACATTACAGGCATGGACAGTCCCCTGAGGCCATGAGCTGTAGAGAAGGAAGGGTTCAAAGTGACAAGTTCAATGGGCCGTTCCTGCTCACTATCTTTCAACTGTATGATTTTTAGGCAAATTACTTAACCTCTCTATGCCTCACTTATATCTGTAACATAAAACCTATCCTATAAGGTCATTGGGACGCTAACTTTGTAAACAACTTTTTTTTTTTTAACGTATTAAAGACATTGTACTGATCAATAGGTTTTGCCTTTCACTGTTCAGCCAGATTTTTGTGCATTCAGTTCACAATTCAATCTGTCTAAAGACCATGTACAAGTAAAAATATGTATACGATAAATTTTAATAGTTTAACTCTAATCCTTTAAACCTAATGCCATTTAGGTTTTAAAAACAAAATAAATGTCAGCAAATCTCTTTCCCTTCTATATTTTCTTTAGCAATGTTATTGAAAAAAAATTTTTTAGTGAAAATCTATTAACCAGAGAGTAAAATAATTCTACTTTCTGGTTCATTTTTACATGTACCTGATGGCTAAATAGATTGCTAAATTGTGAGTCACTTTATAGTTTGTAACCTAGTTTGGGCCTCTTGGTCTCCTGCTCAAGTAAGCAAACCACTCAACTAACATGCTGAGTCAGTTGGTTCTCAGCTTCTTCGCTTCTTGTCCACTCAGCAAACAGCCAGTTGTACATCCTTTTTACATCATCCCTGGGAAGCTTGTCCTGACACAGCTTTTGCTAATATCCAACAAGTTGGAACAGAAGTCATGTTTAGTCAGAACATACAGAGCCAGTAAGCAAATTACTAATTTCAGTACTGCTGCTGGAAAAGGCTGTTTTGTGCTTTTGGTCCTTGGATCCTATTACTGGTGTATGTTTTGGGAAAGTGATGAAGTATAAGCACATTTCTCTCAGCATGTTAGAGCTGATGGAACCCTACACTTGGAGTAGGCAGCTGTAGGTGAAACTGCATCTGGAAAAGAATCCTGATGAAGCAATTCCAGCCAGGAGTTAATAGCTGTGATATTTTGGTATAAGTTGCTACATGACATTCACTTAAGCATCTTCAGAATTTGAGTGTCAAAACCTTATTTATGACCCAGGCAAAGGGAGAGAGGGGTTTTGAGTTAGCAGCTAGGAAAACAGAGTCTTAGCCCCAGATCTGGAAAACTTATTATTCAACTCACACCTCCCAAAGAGGTGTTAAGGAAGAGCAAGAGTTGAAACAGTATAAAATGTAAAAGCACTACATATGTTTATTGATTTATGATGCATGAGAATACTATACGTCAAATTCAGGATCTGGAGAAGGATGGAGTGCCTGATGTAGCTGCAAGTTTTTATTTAAAAAAACAATCAAAAGCAATCACAAAATGTTAACAGTTAAATCTGGATGGGAAATACATAGATTTCTTTTCTGTTGTATTTCTATAAGTTTCAAATGCTCAATAATGAAGACATGGAAGTGGCAATAGAGAACATCTTACATTATGTGAAGATGGAGAAAATTTCTACATATCCCTTTTTTAGAATTCTATTTTGCAGGTAAATGATTTATTTATTTTTGGTTAATTTTTTTTTTTGGAAGAGGCATTTTGACAATAGGGATATGCAAATACCTGGGGTAAGGTGATGAACTTACCATGATCATTGTCACTTAGACTTGGATATGTTAACTTCCTGCATAGCTGTCATTCACAGCATAAATTGGGATCTCCATTTGTCAAATAGTGGTGATCTATCAGAGTAAATATTTTATATTGAGTTCAGGCTATCAAACCACTGACTGTGTGGTTTGACTATTATCTTTAGGTGCATTTTAACTCGGATATGACTCAAAAATATTAACTCAGACTAGTATTCATTGAGTCTTGAAAATTGCAAAATTTCTTTGCTGGCAATCTAGGTACTTAGCTTCTGGCGAAAACTAGTTTGTTTTAAAGACCAGCAATTTTATTCCCCTAAGGGGAAAATAGCATATTATTTACAGGAGAAATCTAGAAAATCATAGCAAATAATATTGCTCTAGGGACTTTTGGATATGAAGCCAGCGATTTGGAAACCCAATTTAGTAGCTAAGTGAAAATTATCACCTGAAGTTAAGACAATTTTTCTACCTTTTAATAGTTCCAATAGTTGAAAGAAAGACCTTTTGGGGGTAGTGAAGTTTGAAGGTTATTACAAAATAACTATTTTGTATGAACTCTAAGTTTGTTCTTAGTCGTTTTTTTTTTTAAGGTTTAAAAACTGGCCATATTCCAAAACTTAAACATGGTTTCCTGTAGGTACAATTTTTTCATGAAAACTTTGAAGAGAGAGCACAGAAATTCCAGGATTTGACTGCTAAAACCTTATTTATAATCCAGGCAAAAGAAGAGGGCATTTGAGATAACGGCTAGAAAAGCCAAGCATTATTCCCAAATTTTTCCAGTGGAAAACATTACTGAAGGCACACCTTCCAGGGAGGGTTAAGGAAGAGTATAGTATCTGGTTAAATATATTTAAAAGAGCAAAGCTACTGCACACATTATTTAATGATTCACGATGCAAAGAATGCTAGAGATGTAATTCAGGATCTGGAGAGAGGTCATCAAAAATAAAGGTAAAATGGCTCATATAACGTGAAAAATTGTAGATCATCAATGGAATTCCACTTTTAAAACTTAAAGTTTTACTGTCGATTGCTAATAAAATGACATATATGTGGAATAGGCCCTAATCAGTACCGAGCCTGACCTTGCGTACTGCAGCAGTTCTTTAGTATCCTTGCCAGATACTCTTGGGCTTCTAAGATTTGAGAATTTCTGGTGATCGGGAGTTCAACGAGTCACAATGTTAAACACTAGCTTGAATCCGGCTCCTCACTGGCCACTACCCCCAGGTGACTCAGTCATCAACCCTGTATTGTATGGATTCAACAATGAAATAAAAACACACTTTAACCTTCAGATGCTTCTTTGGCAGTGCAAAATGACACTTCAGATCAGGCTAACTACCGTTCTAGGCTCATCTAAGGAATAAACTAAATCTCTGATACTCCAGCCAGGCCCATTTAATTGCTCAAGCTCTTTCACGCTTTTTAGCCTCCAGCCATTAAGCCCCCTCCTCTCCATATCTGTTAAATCCCACTGGAATGAAGCCTTCCTTTTCCCTCCGTCTCTGCTAATTAGGCACTTTGTGCACGATCAAACGCAGCACTTCTTGAACACCTGCATTTTAGCACTCCAGGCTCAAGCTATGATCACACCGTCCGGAAGAGTCGACCCAATGAATTAAAGGCCAATCTAGCAGGAAGGAGCAGAACGGCTGCAATGCGGAGGCGGACTGAACCACTGTTGACCACTCTCCCCTGGTTCCCTCCTGTGCCTCCAAAACACAGAACCTGCCGGGACCCCCTCAGTCTAGGATGGTCGGCCAGCTTCCAAGTTTCCCAGCAAGCTCTAGGACAGAGGAGGTGGGGAAAGGAGGTCATCGCGCCTGCGTGCTAGGAGGTGTGACCCGGGTGGGAAAGCTCTCCGCGTCCGCCATTTTGGCTGCCTCTGTCGGTCTGTTCAGTTACCACGTGAACCGCCGACGGAGACCAGTGGGGGGGCGGGGAGGCGGCGGCAGCGTTAAGTGAGAAAGGAAAAAGGACAACGAGGGGCAGGGGGTGTCGGGGTTGGGCGACGCGGTGACATCCGAGGCCTAGTGGCGGCAGTAGATCGGGGCAATCAAGGCTGAAGCAGCCAGGGAACGGCGGCGGCGGTGGGACAAACAGACTGACCGAGCCGGGCGGTGGTGGGAGCAGCGGGAGGAGCCGGAACGATGCCGGCCGTAAGCCTCCCGCCCAAGGAGAACGCGCTCTTCAAGCGGATCTTGGTAAGTGTGAGGCTCCGGGCAAGCAGTGGCAAGGATTCAGCCGGTACACGGGCCTGTCACCCGTAACCTCGGTCCCACGGGCACCGAGCCACCTCCGCCCGGGACCCCGCCTTCGTGCTCCTAGTCAGGCCGAATGAACTCTCTGGTCTACTCCCTTTGGTTCTCACTTCGGCCCGTGCGGCGGGGACCACAGGCTTCCTCCTCCCGTCACCACGCTTCGGAGGCCGTGGTTCCGGACTAGGCCCTGTTCTCCTAGCTTCTAGACTGCCGGTTTTTATCCCCCAAGAGCGAAGGGAGGAGAGGCCTGGCCTTTAGCAGGAAAACGGGCAGGAGCCACGGCCCGGGTGGTGTGGGAACCCTGCCGGCAGGCCGGGGTGGCACCCTTGGAAGGAACAGGTGGTGCGGATGCAGCACAGCTCATTCATTGCCCAAGCGCGGCTTTCCCTCCATCGTCGGTCCCTCCCTCTTCCTCTCCTCTCGGGATTCACCTGTCCCCGCCCGGCCCGGGGTCACTGAATGACCCGAACGGAGGGAAGGAAGGACGGAGTTCAGAAGAGGAAAGGAAGCTTTCTTAACGACTACCTCCTTGTAGTCAGTTGCATAGTTGAGTCTGCAGCTTCTCGGTCTCTTCCCCTCCTTTCTGGAGTAGGGAAGAGACATTTATTTCGTAGTTTCTGAGCGGGAAACAGCCCCACCCCGTCACCCTTCTCGGGAGGTGGGGCCCACTGCGTGGGGGCGGTCCGGTAGGAAGTGAAAAGTTAAGAGCTTTTCGTTGAGACGGTCTAGACTCGGGTTTTCTTTTAGACTGGTGTATTTAACTGATGGAAAAATTCAGCAGCAGAGAAAAGAGAATGGAAGAACTTTTGAGATGGATCTTTTTGACACTAGCTCAGACTCACTCATTCCCTATATTTCAAATGTTTGCAGTTTGCAAAGATGTTTGCAGGGACTGTTTACATTGTAAAATACGTCTTGTAGCCTTGGCGCTATAATTAATACATTGTAGCACATTTTTTTGTTTGGCATTTAGTGTGTGGGTTGCCCCTTTCATGCAAACATTTCTTTGTGAAAGAATTAACTCTGTTTACCAAATTGAAGACTTTTAAATTATGGAGTGTGTGTGTCAAAGCGTTAAGCCGTTTCTCTTACAAGTTAAATCCATGTCACTTGTTTGAAGAGTAGAACAACTCGGGATCCAGTTTTTCTAGAAATAAGAGTAATCCATGTCGAACTAACGACTTTACTAAAATAGCCATATGCTCCTCAGATTTAGTCAATTCATGTTTAAAAACATCATAAAAGTCACATCCAATACCATGTAACTCTTATTTAAGTTCTTACTGCCACTTTTTGTTTTAAAACTAATTAGAGTATAGGGGGGACTATAGCATAGTTTTACCAGAACAAGTTATTTATTTTTTAAACCTTTTAAAAGACTAATTGGTGTGTAGGTTCAACTAGAATGTAGTTTTAGGATAGCAATTTGTCTTTAATCTTCTCCCCCAATTTCAAAAAAAATTCAAGCTGGAAAGTAGAGAGAAGAGTACAAGGAGCACTCTTAAACCTTTTACCTAGATTTAATATTTGACATTTGCCAGGTATGATTTCTCCTCATACATACAAGAGTTAAAAAGTAAGTTGCAGACATACCATTTCCTTCCTAAATGCTTCAGCGAGCATCTCCAAAGAATAAGGACATGTATTATATAACCTTAATACCATTAACAATCATTCCCTGATATTGTCTAATATCCAGTTCATATTCAGATTCTCCTAGCTGTTAGGGTAACACTTTTTAAAAAATCAAACTTTTTATATTGAGGTAACTATAGGGTCACATGTAGTTTTAACAAGTAATACGTCGAGATCCCTTGTACTCATGCGGCTTCCCCAACGCTTATACTTTGCAAAACTGCAGTTCAGCATCATAATGATACAATCCACCAGTCTTACTCAGATTACTCCATTTTACTTGTTCTAATTTGTGTCTTCTATGCAGTGCTCTCACGTGTAGATTACGTAAGTACCACAGCAGTCAATATACAGAACAGTTCAGGAGCACCGGGATCCTTCTCTCGCCCTATTAGAACCACACCCTCCCCCCTCCCTCCCATCCTCTCTACCCCAAACTCTGGCAACCACTGCTAATTTGTTTTCTATTTCTATAGTTTTGTCATTTCAAGAACGTTTACTAAAAAGAATCCTACAGTGTATAACTTTTTAGGATTGGCCATTTTTTTATGCAACATAGTTCCCTTGAGATTCATCCAAATTGTTGGGTCTTGTTCCTTGTTATTGCTGAGTAGAATTCTATGATATGGATGTACCACAGTTTAACCATTCATAGAATAAAAAGTTTTGATTAAGAATCCTAAACATTTTTTTGGGTGGCGTTATGGGGCAGAACATTTAAGTTCATTGCTAAAGTCAAAATGCTAGAGGATTTGTTGGGATAAGTAAGGAGTATTCAGAAGAAATGTGAAAATCACTAAATGAAAGAAAAGGGGATATAATGTCCTTACTTTGTTACACTGATAATGAAGAAAATACTACTAACCAAAAGTATAGTTAGTATTTCTTTTTTTTTTTTTAATTGTTTCTCCTTCCTCAGTTATAGTAGTTAGCTCTTTTGACTGTACGTCCCTCCCCTCTTGGAGAAGGGAAAAGTCGGGCATATTCCAATGCCTTGTAATCAAGCGTTGCTAGGTTGGTAACTTAAATCATTCCACAGCATTCAGTTTTTGAGCTACCACTTTGTTAGTTGTACCATACTTATTTGTAGTTAACTGTAGGAAATGAAATTAGTTGTGTTTTTTGTTTTTTTTTAATTTGAAACTTCAATTTAAAAATAGTGAAGAATGTTTTTGCCTTAAATTTTCAAAGTAAACCTGGTTTACACATCACTTTGCAAAAAATTTCAGCTTCTGTAGTGGATTTGCCTGACTTGTTCTCGTTTAGTTGATATCTAAAATTTAACTTTGTTGCATATTTGGTCCATCTTTTTTCCCCACATTACTGTTTTCTAACTAAAAGCATTATCATAAGTTGGTCAAAATGTCTGCAAAATGTGTCTTGTTTATAATTTGTTTAGTGAAAAGGTGGGCATGAACTTAATGTGATATATGTTATATAGGAGTTTAGTTTTTAAAAAAGATATTTGTGTTTGCCAGAGTGGTTTTTGTGGGGGTTTTGTTGTTGTTGAAATTACACACTATTTTAACAATTTGAAAAACTAAGTCATTAGACAATTGTGACTTTGCTTTCTCTTGATACTGTTTATCTCAATAGTTTGAGAAGTCTTAGCAGATCTTTACACCTCTTTCTTAGGATATAGGTGAGGAGTAGGAGAAATGAGGTTGTCTGGGTAGAACAAAATCCACACCTTTTTAGATTTTAGCCCACATGAAAAAGTTGGACAGTACATACCCTCTTGCCTTGCAATCTGCTGTTACTAAGTCCATGACTTGCTGCTGCTGCTGCTGCTGCCTTTTCGCTCTTCAGATGTTAATGTGAGCTGTAAGAAAAACATCTAAGTTGGGAGTTCTTAAAATATTGTACATCATTAATCTATTTTTGGACTTTTGCCTGAATGATTTATGTTGTTAGTTAAAAGTCTAAAGGACAGAATTTTCCTTTCTTGGAAAAATGGTAAGAGAAGTTAGCATAGCATGGTGATAATATTTATTTACTGAAACATTTATAGTGCACAATATAACTTTGTGTGATGATGGGAATGTTAGAACATTTCTGCTCTGTCCTATATGATAGCCATTAGCCACATATGGCTAATGTACACTTGAAATATGGCTAGTGTAGTTAAATAACTGAATTTTTAATTTTAATTAAATTGAAATTCAAATAGTCACATGTGAATGGTTACCATTTTGGACAGTAAAAAGACTGTTTCCACTGAGGCAAACGTGGTGCCCTGTATGATTAGAAGACTGGAGAGCTACTGGCCAACCAGTCTTTACTGAAGGGATCTCTTTGCTTACTGTGCATTCTTAGTTCTTTTAATATTTCTACTTATGAAAATGCAGTTCTCTCAGAGCATATCTTTGTTCAAAAGAGTTTTGTCCAAAAGTGTTTTTGGACCTAAAAAGTTAGGTCCTATGGGGATCATATGCAAAGGACTGTTTGTTTAGAATTTTTTCTCCCAGATACCTGTATGGCTCATTTCTTCTCTTATTTCTTTTAGAATTCTGCTCAGATGTCCTCTAAATGTTATAGAGAGGCCTTCCTTGACCAGGAGAAATCCTCAATTCAACTTTTTTATTTTCTTCATTGCTTTTTCTCCGTATCACTTATTACCATCTGACATACATACACAAGTAATTTATCACATCTTGCACAATTAAAATGTAGGTTTTTATGATGGATAGGGACTTTGTTCTGTTAACTGCTATACCTCTATTGGTTAGAATAATGTACTATGATAGATATTGGGTAAATATTTGTTTCATGAAATGAGTGTTAAAACAGTGACTACAGGGCAGGAGAGAAATCTTTTGATTGTGTGTTTGCATTAAGATTTTTAGAGAAGGGAAGTAAGCTAGGCCTTGGCTTTGCAGAGTACATTACTATATGAGGTAATTGTTGGATATCAGGCAGAACCTGTATTACCTGGTAAGACCTTGTAAGTTTCATTTATGAATGAATCATAGTGTTAGTTTGTTTACATGACCTTTCTCCCATCACAAAAGCATAAGAGGAATTTTTTTTTTGGTTGTTTTAACATTGGAAGAAAAATGGCATCAGGGTTAAATGAGGATGTTTGTTGTGAGGAACTTGCTGAATTAGATAGTAAGGCTCAGTCATCTGTAGTTTCATAAAGCTCTACAACTCATTCTGACAAAGTCGGGTGAGGACCTCTGTGTATGCTATTATGAAACAGGAATATAAAATGTTAGAAGGCAAGAAATTTGTAGTTTAGAGTTCCTCTGGGAATCATTTTCAGAAAATTTAAAAATCAAGTTGAATTCTTGGAATTTGGAAAAGCA